TACGTGTGTCATTGATATCGAATCGCCGCCGCGCAGCGTCTGGCAAGATCGCCAAGAACCTGTCCCCCTCTGTCCTCAACCTTGAGTCACCAGACACGTATGGGCATAAAATATATCGCGATATAAACGACACTTCTGCTCGACACGATAATCTTTCAATAAAGTCCTTAACAGACCTTTGATAAATCGAAGAAAAGTAATTTTCATTCTCAACTCATTTTTATTATAATTTTTTTGCGTCAGTTTATTTTCACCTGCTTACAACGTATATTGCGATGCTAATACGTAACAAATTTCTTCTTTAAAGATTGAATAAATAATTGCTATTCGGTAACTCAATTCAATCAATTACATATCGCTATTAGCGGTCAAGTAAATCAAGCTAATTACGTATCAGTCGTTCATCGATAGCTGTGCAGCGGAGAAAAGTGAGGAATAAAACAAATGTAGGATAAAATTCAATTAAAGTTGAAACGTTGAAGCGAAGTAAAATTAACGTCTCGTAGCTGTTACCTCAATATAGTTGACATTTATCTCGATATCGGATTTCGTCAGGGTAAAATTATCCGAAACGACATGTAACGTCGCGAATATCCGGGCTCGGATCGAGCTAATACGCTCCGGGGCCCGATTAAGCGATTGAACCCGATAACATGTAAATACGTTTGCCTAAATTACACGGTAATCCGTCCATTACGGATTTAGGTCAAATCCGGACAACCATGTGCGAGCCGAATCAAAATTGTAGCGATTAAGATATTTATCGTCGAGTATCTCTTAATGGAATCAGAAGAGACATGGAATTATACAAAAAAGTATTGAGAACAAATCGTAATGCGCTCAATGCGATTAACGAATTAGATAAATGCCAAATTTGTCGAACACGCGTACTCGTCGCGCGACAGTTTTGCTCTTTGGATGTCAAAGGAGTGTCGTAATATATCTACAGGTATCGAGAGACCACGGATCAACACTATTTTCCAGGGAAACCAATCAAATGCCCCGCGTCCGATCGTAAGCCGGAGGAAAATTCCGGGAATATGTTTTTGTATCGCAAACTTTGTATACAGAAGAGAGGATGCAAAGACGAGAGATTAATTTCACTCGAACGTGGAGAGAAAAAAAGAATAGAGAAGAAAGCGAGACGACAATGCCTCCTTTTTCACGTTCGTCCAATTATAAAAGCGTTCGAGGCTGCAAGAAGAGAATTTCAGGCGCCAGCAGGAATAAAGGATATTTCTTTGCCGAGCACCGCCAATGTCGATCCTGCGTACGGACAATCACCCCTTTTCCGTAGGCCGAGGCAAACAGATTGTAGAAGGATTTAGTAGGAGTGCTCTTTGTCGAACGATTTATTCAAATAACACGATACTCGAGGATAATCTGTATGTGAATGAGTCATTTAAAAAAGGAATGTTTCTTCAAAAGAGGTATTTTTTTTTTTTTAGAAACCCGAAGAAGTGTGCAAGCAATATAAATTCACATAGATTTTGGTATAAATTAATGAAAGTTTTTTCAACATTTTTATTTTTCTAGACGAAAAGACATGCAACGGTAAATTCATATAAATGTCATATAAACTAATGAAACTTGTATAAAATCTAATATTATTTTATACATTATATTTTATATATTAATAAAATAACGAAACAAAGACTTTTCTACAAGCAAATGTGTATTTAAAGAAAAAAAAGAACCGTTCATGCATAATAAAATTAATTTTAGATTTGGTAGATGAAGCTCTTTTTATATATTAAACAATTCCAGTTCTCGTTTAAAATTAATGTTTAATCCTCGCACTCTCTAAAGCATCGTCGTTCTGTTAATTTCAATAATAACCTCGTTTCAGCGAGTGTTCAATATTAGATTAATATAAAAACTATATGTTATTTCTATAAAAAAAAAACTGAACAGCTTTCGCCAAGCGGAAAAAAGTAAATTTATCATTATTCTATATAAAAAAAAATCTTTATTTTGTAGACTATGCATTTCGTTTGAAATTCTTCCATTCACGATTTGTGATTCATGAATAAAAATAAACAAAAGATCTCTCTTGCATGCATTCGACAGAAAGGTATTAACGTGTCGTGTTTCTCGCTGATCCCTTTTACTTCGGCCAAGCTGTAAAATTCCCGCCCTAATCCGAGACCGCAAAACGGTGACGCGACTCTCGTCGAACTTTTCCAATAGAGCGGCGACAAAGAGAGAGAGAGAGAGGAGGGGGGGGCGAGGGGAGAACGTCCACGCCGGGCCCGGGAGGAATAAGTTAAGCGCCTTTCGTGTATATATGGGCGCGCGGGGCGCCGCGGGATGAATAATAATGAGAGACATCCAGGGGTGCAGGGGAACACCTTCGGTCGGGCGCCCTTTCGTAAAAAGGCCGTTAAGGTGCTACCTTAACGATCTCGGAGCCGGGGCCCCACGCCGCCGCGCCACCGCGAAGAAGAAGACGACGACGACGACGACGACGACGACGAAGAAGAAGAAGAAGAAGAAGAAGAAGAAGAAAAGGAGGTGGAGAAACCTGGGGCACAGCCTGCTGCACGTGGAATGCAGACACGTAATGCCCGCAGAATGCGCCCGGGCCGCCGACCGCCGGGAATTATTAGTGGATTCGTGAGAGAGGACCCCCTTGAACGCGCGCAGCCTCGAACAGGTCTCCACACTCGCGGCATCGGGCGTATACATACACGCCGAGGATACGCAGGTACGAGCAGGTACGAACGAGGGGGGGACCTGCCGCCGGTCTCACGGGGGCCCTCGCACGGTCCTCTCCGCCCCGGTCTCCTCCTCACCCCCGCCGCTACGCTTCGTGCGAAACCTTTGTTCGCAATTCGACGAGTCCGAAATCGATGAGCGATAAGACTCGCGCGCGCGATTAGGCGGATATGAAGTACAGTCCGGCTCGGCGGAATACACGTCGAAGTGATGAGAGGCACGATCGGTGAATGCGAAACGTGACGCGCTGCGTCACTTCGCGCTCTTCGATTGTTTATTTTTGTGCAAAAATAAATTTGAAGCTCGGTCAGAATTAATTTGAAATTTGAACGGATTTTTTAATTAAAATTTCAATTAAATTTCGAAGCAGCTGAAGAAGTTGCGTTGCAATTAAATAAATAATGCGGCATGTGTAAGTGTACGCGAAGTTCTAAGCGTATAGCGTTAGATCGGGCGCTTATTCAGAGCGCAAGGAATTGTAGGATTGTCGGTTAGTCAAGACGAAACGAGGTGACCGAGGACAATTGACGACCGCGAATCGATTTCGGCGGTGCGGGGAGGAGGAAACCGCCGCGAAGAGCACGGGAATCCGGCTTCTAAACGAACGAGGAGGGATCGATTCTGTCGTCGCGATGCGGCGCGGCACGGCGCGACCGCCCGTGTGAGAAACTTTTAATTGCGTTCCGCGCGCGAGCGGAGCGGCCCATTTCGTCGGGACTCGGGGTCGAGAACCGGAACGAAGGGACGAGAAATCGTGGAGCAAGCAGGGAGGTAGGTAGGTAGGTGAAGAAGGAACACAAGGAAGAGAGGGAGAGAGAGAGAGAGAGAGAGAGAAGAGAGAGAGAGAGAGAGAGAGAGAGAGAGAGAGAGAGAGAGAGAGAGAGAGAGAGAGAGAGAGAGAGAGAGAGAGAGAGAGAGAGAGAGAGAGAGAGAGAGAGAGAGAGAGAGAGAGAGAGAGAGAGA